CGGAATTTAACAATCATCTTCCTATATTTTCTCATGTCCTGTCGTATATTTTGCAGTTTCATAACAATTCTTAACAGATAGGCAACAGTAATTAAGTTCAGTGTGATCAACTATTATTATTACTATCATTGTTATTGTTACCATTATTATTATTGTTATAATTATTATTATTATCATCATCACTATTACTTTCATTATTATTAAAAATATTGCTGTTTTATCACAGCAACTGATATTACTATATCATTATTATTCTGTCTGGGCACAGAAGGCCCATTAATTTTTTTATTTTCGTTTCATCATTTATTTCTATTCTTATTATTATTCACTAGATTTCATCAAATCCTCTATGCATTAAATTTCTTCCCCAAAATACCCCTCCATTTAGGGTAAGGGCCGAGTCTCTATTTAAATAATACAGTATGTCAGCTCCGCTGCAAAGGAATTTTTATTTAATGAAATGTATTTCCTTTTGAAAAAATCTGCAAAATCCTGGTTTTGCCAAAAATTCTCCTCATTTTTGTTGCATTTTCGCAGAGCCTAGAGACAATAGCAGTCATCTGATATTGGAATCTAACCGGATGAACAACGCCTCATTATTTTAAACAAAAACTGTCGGAATCATTCAGTCATTCACTCATCACGAAATAACTTGCTGAGATCACTCGAATACATTCAACGCCGATGTTACTGAAATATAATTCTACGTCAAAAGATGGAAGGGACAACTGAGATGCGGGTAAATATACATATATACAAGCAAAACCTCAGCCAAAACCACTCCCCGTTATTCTCTCTCTGTGAGAGATGGAAGCACTCGGAAATATCTCAAAAGTAACAAATACCAACAGCGATTTTTTCTAGCAGAGCTGCCGATGCCTTTTCTTTCTAGCACAGCTTATAAGCAATTTTTTTATACCTGTTTCGACTCCTGGCTTGTACCAGTATCAGTTTACCACTGAAACTAATGAATGAATCGTAGAGGGAGTTGGATGCCCTACTGACATGCAAAAGTATTTGACCGAAACCAATTCGATTCTTTATCGGTCCAGAACAATTTTCGAGAAAGGGATCCGTTCATACATACGTAGCTCGCACTAGCTTACTTTTAATTAATTTTGGCTTTCGAAGAATCGTGAAATAGCTAGTTTCT